GCCTTCTGCCGTGCCCGCCGGCCCTGCGCCTCCCTCTCTGCCTGAGCACCGGGCTGGCCCGGGCCCTGCTTGGTGCTCCCGTTCCTGCGCAGCGAGCAGGCCGACTCTGCGACCCCCGTTTGTAACACTGGGACGTCGCGTGGGAGAATCACGTTAGGGCTGTGTCTCTGACACTACCAAGAGCCCTCGACCGTGGGCGTGTCAGCACTGGGCTCCCCCCCACAGCACGCACACGCGTGCATGGTACCCCACACACGTGCAGACGGGGTCCTGCATCTCTGCCCTCGGTCCCGGCCTCTCCGGTCTCCGTCGCTCGCGTAGCCCTGACTCCTGCCATGCTGCCCCTGTCCGTGGGCCGACGGCACAGCAGAGGCCCGGGTGGGGTTGCTCTGCCGAAGGGTTTGCCAGAACTGCGGACCGCACGCGTGAGTGGGAGAGGCGAGGGCTCGCTGGTGTCCGCATGTCCCAAGTACTGCATGGACACACCTCTGCCAAAATCCATCGCGGTTTCTCTGGGACTCGGACGGCAGGACTGCATTTGCTGGTGGTCAGAAGGGTCATGACGTATTCTCATGTTTTTCTATACAAAAATTTGCTATGACCTGCTGACCGATCACTTCGTAAGGAGCTGACAAAGTCTTCCAGACACACCGTTGATGCCGCCGTCAGAGAAGGGCATCCTTGTCCCACCTCCTCCCAGCACCGGGTTCTGGAACTGGGGGTTCAGACATGGCCCGGCAGGGGCGTGTGTGAGTGCAGAGGGCCGACTGGCCTCTACGGCCTGCCCGCCTCCCGCGGCCCGCTCTGGGCAGCCGCCTGCTCAGGCCTCCTGCCTTGTCTAGGTTGACTCGCTTATTCTCCATGAGTGACAGGACAGAGAGAGGCCACGCCCATGAGGGACTTCCTGCCACCACCTGCTCCCACCGTCGGACGGCCCAGTCACACACGCGTGGCTGGCGGCGCGGGAGGTTCGGGGCGCAGACCCGGTGCGTGTCAGCTGCGTGCCTGGGCCCTCGCGCAGGCTGTTAATGGGGTCTCTCTATCAGAGTGCACTTTGGAGATGTCCTTTATGAGACCCGAGCTGTCGTAACGGCCTGTTCATGGTACGTCCCGCTTCCTGGCTGCCGGCGCCGCGGGGAGGGGAGGAGCTGGAACCCGTCCGGGCAAGAGGGGCTCAGCAGGCCGAGCTCCCCGGCTCCCGGGCCCGTCTGCAGCGGGAGATGGCGGCCCACTTGCCTCTGGCTGGCCGTGACTGACCTGAGGTAGTGGCCCGTCAGGAGCAGGGCGAGGACAAGCAGGCTCCACAGCGGCACTCTCGCCCTAAGGTTCATGTCGCCTGGGGAAAGGCAGGGAGAACGTGGCCTTCTTCTTCCAGTCTCGTTGTATGTCCTTGAGACAGAGAGAGACAGAAAGACGGAGAGCAAGAGCTCACCCCCAGGGAACGGCCACACCGCAATTCCTTCTCCTCCTGGGATCTTGGGAACTCACGCGCATGAGCCTGGTTTGAGTTTCAAGTCGCCGGGTCTGGACTTGAACCGCCGTCAACCATATGGGAATCCAGCACTTTAACCACCATGTCACCTGCTGCCCCCTGAAAAGCAGACTTTGAGCAGCAAAGCCCTGCACTGTTGCAGCCTCCGAACACGGATGACTGTGGAGCTGTGGGCACCACCCTCAGGGTTTGCTTCTAGAATGTTCTGCCTTCAGGAGGCAGCACCTTGAGTCTGGGAAGAGCCTGTGGGGCCTGTGGGTGCTGGCTGCCCCCGGAGGGTGGGGCGGCTCCAGCAGCTCCGCCTCCCCTCCCGGCTGTGCTGCCATTGAAGCTCCTGCACTGCGGAGCGAAGGCAGCGGGCCGCCTGCCCGGCCGGGCCGGGGGCCC